TTTCTTGAATGTCGCGGAATATTGTGACAGTTTTTGACATTTTTCACGTTTTCCATTGCATAATGGTCCACATTCAGTACAAAGATCTTTTATGAGACCAAATATAAAACTTTTAGACAACAGTGTACAATGAATAGCTTTTCATAAAACGTTCATAGTATTGGGGGCACCTCCTAAAGAAATCGACGCAATATAATACCGAATGCATAACGCACATATTAAAGGATGATCTATAAAGTTTCATTTCCTCATGAATTTCCAATCCAAGGTGATGCCCAACTGCGATTGAGGTTAAACTTGCATATAACCATAGAGAACCTCTTTTATCCTTTTATTGTGCACAATAAAATATCTGAAAAACAAATGGAATGCGGCCTGTCAAGCTTGGCTTTTTTTGTTTAGAACATTCCAGTCGGCATCTTGCCATCCAGTATGGCGGATGTTGTACAAAGTGACCCTTTTTGTGCAAAAAGACCGTAGCATCAGCTTCACAAAATATTTAGGAAAAAGATCTTTTGTTTCTAAGAATTCAACTGTGAAATGAAAACACAACGAACAATGAAACCTACCCACCGGTTGGTTTGAATTGGGTGGAAACGATTATTACAACGCGTTTTTACGTTTCAAGCGTTAAAAGCGCACATTTTTAAAATATTAATATTAAAATATTTTTAACAGGGAGGCGGTGTATCCACTCGATRRTGACTGGCACCATTTTTGCTTAACATGGGAGAATACTCTTGGAAAGTGGGAAATATACATCGATGGCGTCATAAAATCTGAAGGAAAAAAGAACCCAGGCAGAGTTYCTTCTGGAAGGGGTGTCGTTATACTTGGTCAGGATCAAGACTCGGTTAAAGGAGGCTTTGAGAAAAGCCAAAGCTACCAAGGCAATTTGACCAACGTGAATCTTTGGAACAGGGTCCTCTCAGCACAGGAGGTAGCTGACTTGTCTCGATCATGTTCCGTTGGAGAAGGAAATGCTATCATGTGGTCAGACTTCATTTCCAAAATAGAAGGGAATATCGAGCTGCTTAAAGCTTATCATGGTTGTGGTAAATAAAGTGTAACTTTCGTCAGCTTTGATGATCCKTCAAGACGTTTTTAAAGCACATTAAGAAGCATGCAGGCTAATCAGTTGACTGGGGCATGTATTTAAATTAGATTATTGTATTATTATTTAAATTTGGTACTTCACAAAATTCACAAATCTTAAAACTACAAATCAAAAGACAGAAGCATATGTATATAAATTAGAGATGTTGATATTAGAGATCAGTAACTTAACATCAGTAACTTGACAACAGTAGCCTAACAACAGTGTAACCAACAAAAGTTACCTAACAACAGTAAGTCAATATTAGTTTGTTATGTGCAACAGTAAACAACGCTATTAC